CTCATAATGGGAACTCAGCACAGGGATGGTGGGGACCCCTCATAATGGTCACAGCAGGTGTACAGACCCAGGAACTCAGCACAGGGATGGTGGGGACCCCTCATAATGGGCACAGCAGGTTTACAGACCCAGGAACGCACGACAGGGATGGTGGGGACCCCTCATAATGGGCACAACGTGTGTACAGACCCAGGAACTCAGGACAGGGACGGTGGGGACCCCTCAAAATGGGCACAGCAGGTATACAAACCCACTCAGGATAGGGATGGTGGGGACTCCTCATAATGAGCACAGCAGGTGTATAGTCCCAGGAACTCAGCACAGGGATGGTGGGGACCCCTCATAATGGGCACAGCAGGTATACAAACCCACAAACTCAGGACAGGGATGGTGGGGACCCCTCATAATGGGCACAGCGGGTGGACAGACCCCAGAACTCAGGACAGGGATGGTGGGGACCCCTCATAATGGGCACAGCAGGTATACAGACCCAGGAACTCAGCACAGGGATAGTGGGGACCCCTCATAATGGGCACAGCAGGTGTACAGACCCGGGAACGCACAACAGGGATGGTGGGGACCCCTCATAATGGGCACAGTGGGTGGACAGACCCCAGAACTCAGGACAGGGATGGTGGGGGCCCCTCATAATGGGGACAGCCGGTGTACAGACCCAGGAACTCAGCACAGGGATGGTGGGGACCCCTCATAATGGGCACAGCCGGTGTGACAGACCCGGGAACTCAGCACAGGGGTGGTGGGGACCCTTCATAATGGGCACAGCTGGTGTACAGACCCGGTAACTCAGCACAGGGATGGTGGGGACCCCTCATAATGGGCACAGCAGGTATACAAACCCACAAACTCAGGACAGGGATGGTGGGGACCCCTCATAATGGGCACAGCTGGTGTACAGACCCGGGAACCCAGCACAGGGATGGTGGGGACCCCTCATAATGGGCACAGCAGGTGTACAGACCGCAGAACCCAGCACAGGGATGGTGGGGACCCCTCATAATGGGCACATCAGGTGTACAGAACCCAGCACAGGGATGGTGGGGACCCCAATGGGCACAGCAGGTGTACAGACCCCGATGCTCAGGAGTGCACAGATCTCACTGGCTCTGTCCCGAGAGATAGAAGAAACAGTGAGGAGTTTTAACTCTCCTTCAACGACCAAAAAAAAAAGAAAAATATCCATTTTGGGTGGACTGGCCCTTTAAGGCAACCAAAATTTTTCTTATGAAGGGGGAAAGAAATAGTCTGATTATAAATCCAGACAAATGTATGGTTTTGATTAATTAAAAATATTATGAAATAATAATGGAATCATATCTGTGGGATGTTCTGCTAAATGTTGTAAATATATTTTGCTTCATTTTCCTACTCAGGAGACATTATGTATTCATTAAGTTATGCATTAATCATGATCGCCGGGCTGGGGATCAGAGTACTGAAATAACTCGCAAGATTACATTAAATGCTCGTTATTGACAAATTACAGCAGGACGACCTCCGCATCGGGCTGGGCGCGGCGCAGGATAAGTACCCATGACCAGATACAGGAAGACGCCTAAAAGACAACTCCGCTCACACAGCTCAGTCCATACAGTGGTAACATTCACATGGGGGAACCTTTCCCTGCCGATAGATTTGTATTGTGATCTAAGACTGATGACCAGCCCAGTCCATGCTAGAAGGCTGTATGGATCGTGTTCTGCACTGCTCATGTCCTGTGTGCCGGGTGCAAATCTCACTATCTGTCCTTATTCTGTGTGTATGGACCAAAGTAGCTCGGGCTTTATTTCCCCAGAGACTAGCTGCAGGTATTCACATGGCCTCCACAGTACAGAGCTCCCCCACACACGGGACAGAACCCCCCACACAGTATAGAGCCCACCTACCCAGTACAGAGTCCCCCCCCCCTCCCCAACAGTACAGAACCCACCTACCCAGTACAGAGTCCCCCCCCCTCCTCCACAGTACAGAACCCACCTACCCAGTACAGGGTCCCACCCTCCTCCACAGTACAGAGCCTACCTACCCAGTACAGAGTCCCCCCCCCCCACACAGTACAGAACCCACCTACCCTGTACAGAGTCCCCCCCCCCACACAGTACAGAGCCCACCTACCCAGTACAGAGTCCGTCCCCCCCCTCACAGTACAGAACCCACCTACCCTGTACAGAGTCCCCCCCACAGTAAAGAGCCCACCTATCCAGTACAGAGTCGTCATCCCCCCCCACAGTACAGAGCCCACCTACCCAGTACAGAGTCCCCCCTCCCCCACATTACAGAGCCCACCTACCCAGTACAGAGTCCCCCCCTCCCCCACAGTACAGAGCCCACCTACCCAGTACAGAGTCCCCCCTCCCCCACATTACAGAGCCCACCTATCCAGTACAGAGTCCCCCCTCCTCCACAGTACAGAGCCCACCTACCCAGTACAGAGTCCCCCCTCCCACAGAGTACAGAGCTCCCCCCCACAATACAGAGCCCACCTACCCAGTACAGAGCTCACCTCACAGTACAGAGCCAACCTACCCAGTACAGATGTCCTCACCCCACAGAGTACAGAGCCCACCTACCCAGTACAGAGTCCCCCCCCCCCCCACAGAGTACAGAGCTCCCCTCACATTACAGAGCCCCCCCTCCCACATTACAAAGCCCACCTACCCAGTACAGAGCCCATCTACCATGTACAAAGTTCCCACCCCACAGGGTACAGAGCCCACCACACAGTACAGAGCCTGCCCCCCACAGTACAGAGCCCACCTACCCACAACAGATCCCCTCCTAAACACAATACAGACACCCCCCCCCACACACACACACACAGTAAAGAGCCCACTGACACACATGTAGCATTACCCTTGTAGGGGCTGCTGTGGAAGATCAGGTTCTTTCCCCAAAGCAGTGCAGAGGCAGCCAGGCACACAGCAACAGTCCACTCACTCCAGCTCATTAATTAGTCTAGGGCAGGGGTACCAAACTCCATTTCATTGTGGGCCGCAACAGCATTATGGTTGCCCTCAAAGGGCCGGTTGTATATGTAAGATTGGATGCCCAGAGCACCAACCCCCTTCCATCAGAGGTCAAGAGCCCCCACACCATCAGATTTCAAGGGCCCCCATCTTCCCCTATATCACAGAGGACCCCCCCCTTACCTTGTACTGCTGTCAAGAAGAAGCTGGGAAGCAAAAATAGCAGGGTCTGGAGGAGGACCAGAGGAGGGCTGGAGTCAGTTGCCAGAGTCTACTGAATGATAGTCGGCGGAGGAGATGAGGAGGTGCTGTGGCTGCAGAGAGACATACAAGACCTGGTGAAGGAGTTCTGTCCTCCTCTCTGCTGAGACAAGGTAGGGGCGCCGCAGCTGCAGGAAAATTGCAAGGGCTACATGAAATGGCCTGGCAGGCCGGATTTGGCCCGCCAGCCTTGCATTTGACACGTGGTCCAGAGGTTGGTCTTTAAGGCTCCATGCACACTAGCGTTTTTTTTTTTTAACACCACCTAGAAGCTGTAATTAGCATTTTTTTTCTGCTCCTAGAAGCTAAATAACATTCTCCTGTGTGTCCATGCACACTGCTTTAGGCTATTAGCATTTTTTAAGCTTCACCGTCTAGAAGCAGAAAAAAATTGTTTTTGTATCGTTTTTTGGAGCGTTTGTCTAGCAGAAAAAAAACACACCACCCCACCTATACATGTCTACACAATATTAGGACAGATCACCCTGTACCCCTAACAGGCACAGGGTGACTTACACATAATAGGGATATGGGGAGCTGAGACAGGGGTCTCCCCACCTCTCCAAAGTAAGCTGGGTTCCATGGGCCCCCCACACAAAAGTGACTCGCGTCACATCCTCTAGTTACAGAAGGAGCCAAAAATTTAATTTACCTAGCAGCCCAACTAGGAGGGTGCTACATACAATAGAGGCCATTGACCCAGTACAAAGCTCACTCCTCACACACAGTACAGAAACGCACCTAATCAGTCCAGAGCCTCCCTCAAAGTACAGAGCCCACCCACACAGTACAGAGCCCCCCACACAGTATAAAGCCCCCCTCCACAGTACAGAGCCATCCACAAAGTATAAAGCCCACCACACACTGTACAGAGCCCCCCCCCCCCCCAGAGTACAGAGCCCCCCTCCCCACAGTTCAGAGCCATCCCACATACAGAGACGCTAGACAAAGTACAGAGACCCCCACAGAGTGCAGAGCCCCCCACCCACAGAGTACAGAGCCATCTCACAGTGCAGAGCCCAGCCACTCTGTCCAGAGAGCATTGGTAAACACAGAAGCCGGCAGAGGAAGTAAGTAGTGCAGAAAACAATCTTCTCTTACTGGCTTCTGTGTTAACAGTGACAAGTTGGACAGAGCAGTGACGGTACGGAGTTCCACTCGTTATGGCTGACAGAAAGCCCTGAAAGTAGCTCTTCTCTTGCCAAGTAAGAATAGACATGACTCTTGTACTTGGACAATATCTGGTTATCCCAGAGTTCAGCTTTACATGAACCTATTAACTTTTGCCACTGTGGTGATTGGAGCTCCTCTGGGGCCGTGACTGAGGTGACCTAAAAATAAGTATGGAATTTGATGATGCTATTTATGTACAGAAATTCAAAATAGATAGTGAAGAACCAATATTTAGAAGTGTACCTTGATACTTCCCGCTCGAGTCCCCCCCCCCCAGAGTCACATGACTTACATATCATTTGTTGACGTATCATCTTCTCCCATGTGAAACATACCTTACAGCTGTGTCCGCTCTGGTTCGATAAAAGATATTTTTACTTTCCAGCATCCGTTTGTATTTTTTTCTCTTTGCATTGATTTTGTAAGCTGACTCTGGTGTAGAGGTCATCTAAGGCCAAGCTGCGTGAGCTGGAGTTACCTGTATCAGATTAGGTGCTTATCTTCTGTGCTGCAAATTGGAGTAGAAGAGAAGATTATTAACAATATTTTAAGTAAAACTAAAGGCAAAATCTTTTTTTTTTCATTTTGGATATAGTAAATAGGATATACACTATATTGGCAAAAGCATTGGCCCCGCCCTCCAAATCATTGGATTCAGGTGTTCCAATCACCTCCATGGCCACAGGTGTATAAAATCATCACGTAGGCATGCAGACTGCTTCTACAAACATTTGTGAAAGAATGGGTCGCTCTCAGGAGCTCAGTGACTCCAAGCGTGGTACCGTGATAGGTTGTCACCTGTGCAATAAGTCCATCCGTGACATTTCCTGGCTACTAAATATTCCACGGCCAACTGTTAGTGGTATTGTAACAAAGTGGAAGCAACTGGGAACAACAGCAACTCAGCCACCAAGTGGTAGGCCACGTAAAATGACAGAGCGGGGTCAGCGCATGCTGAAGCGCACAGTGCGTAGAAGTCACCAACTGTCTGCAGAGTCATCAGCCAAAGACCCCCACACTTTATGTGGCCTTCAGATTAGCACAACAACACTGCATAGAGAGCTTCATGGAATGGGTTTCCATGGCTGAGCAGCTACATCCAAGCCTTACATCACCAAGTGCAATGCAAAGCGTCGGATGCAGTGGTGTAAAGCACGCTGCCACTGGACTCTAGAGCAGTGGAGATGTGTTCTCTGGAGTGATGAATCACGCATCTCTGTCTGGCAATCCGATTGATGTTTCTGGGTTTGGTGGTTGCCAGGAGAATGGTACTTGCCTGACTGCATTGTGCCAAGTGTAAAGTATGGTGGAGGGGGATTATGGTGTGGGGTTGTTTTTCAGGGGTTGGTCTTGGTCTCTTAGTTCCAGTGAAGCTTGGTTATTTTTTAGTTTTATTAGGGAATTGAACTTGGATAGGGTAAGGGGTGTATGGGATGCCCAAAGGAACTGCAAACTGAGGACAATATCCTGGTAACTATATACAAGTCCAAAGACAGAACTTCTCTTCTGGGAGAGCTCTCCAGCCTCTCATGGTGTACCACCCCAGACCCCAGATAACTCTTCTTCTTTATCCAGCTGTCTGGAGGAAGGGGATCCAGTGCCTGCCACTTTAAGATGAACATTCCTGGGTAAGGAGCTAATCAAGTTTCCCACCAGAGTGCTCTTTTCCCCTTAGCTGGCCCAGGGGGTGTAGGATTACTAAATTGGTCTTTTTCCTGTGAGCTGGTCTAGGCAGGTGGCTGCCTCCAGGCCTTCTGCTGAGCTGGCTCCTTTCCTGGCTCCACAAGTAGCCCTCCTGTCTAAGACCCAGCCTACAGGTAGGCTTCTTTCCACTGGGCCCCCTCCTAGGCTCCTGAATGTCAGGCTTCCTCACACCTTCCACCCAAACTCTCCAGCCTCTGAGCACACTCAGACACTCTTACGGGCTGTCCTGACCCCATGCCAAGCCTCCTGCCTGGAGATTGGCCAGGATACCTCAAGAGTGAAGACCAGCTTCTCCTTTCCCCCACTGAGCTCTAGAAACTTCTCCACGTCTCTAGATCAGGGGGAGAGATCAGTGAGCTGATCTGCAGAACCTCTCAGCCCTGATCCAAATTTGGCTCCTCTTATCACCCAGGCTGCTACTCAGCCTTCTATCAAAAAATATATAGCTAGCTCCCTCTATCTAACTAGGAGGGTGCATCATGTATTTTTGGCAATTTCTGATCTAGACCTCTCTTCCTTCTTATATTGCTTTGTGCAATAAACGTGTTTCTGTTTCAGAATCTACTGAAGTGACTGGTACTCATTCCATTATATCCCAAACAAAGCTTCACACCTGAGATAAATGTTTCTTGTACTTTAGAGGCAATTAAGATGACCTTGTGCATTTTTCGAGTAGCTGTTTGGGAGCTGAAGATCAGCATTCATATGTAATTATTGTAGATCAGTACAACGAGCGCTACAATACAATTTAACTGCTTCCGGACCGCCCACTGTGCTTGTACTGCGAACGGGTGGCCCATCTGCACTGGATCACGTACATAGATGTGATCCAGCATTTACAGGTATAGGACACACACATGCGCCCCTCACCCCCCACCTCGGTCAGCAGGTCCCAGCCAATTTATGATTTATGGACAGGATCTGGCGATTGGCATAGTGAATCACAGCATGGAGCCCTGTGTTTACTAACAGCAGCACAGAGCTGCTGAGACAGAGCAGCAACATGGCTGTTTTTTGTCCCTGCAAAGCAGGGAAAAAAGACAGCTACATCTATTCCACACATTACCATAGCTCCCTAATTTAGAACAAAGTCCCTCTGTCCCTCTTTCTTCCTCATCTGTCCCTCATTTTGGTGTGATCTATATATTTGTATAGAAAATGCACTTTTTAGCTTTCAAAAAGTGTTTCTCAATGCTAAACCTTTCATTTAATTTCTAAATTGCTGCATTTGTAAATTTCAAAAGCCAGTATAAAGGGATAGTAGTGGTATAAAAAGAGCACTTGTGGGTTTAACTAATCATTTTTTTGTATAATTCTCATTTTAAGGGGGCGTGGCAGGGTGTGTGTCCTACGCCTACATACTTTTGCTAATAGGCATCCCTCGCTCCCGTCTCAAAAAGTTGGCACACAATTAACCTTTTGATTGCCCCTGGATGTTAACCCCTTCCCAGCCCATGTCATTAGTACAGTGACATTGTACAGTATTAGCACTGATCATTTTATTAGTGTCACTATTGATGTCAGTTTTAGTTAGCGTCTCTCCCTGCCACAGTCAGCTAACGCCAGATTGACTGCCACACTATCACAGTCCCACTCATAAGTCACGGATCACTGCCATTACCACGGATCACGGTGCTGCGTGCTCCCTGGGAAGCGGGGAAGGATGTTTATAAATGGCCACCCGCCCCTGCACTGCTCCTGTCCGGCCGTTTATATACATGGGCCGGACGGGAAGTGGTTAAGCTAAAAAAAAGCTGGATAAAAAACGCTGGTAATAGCTTTTTTTAACTACATGCCGCCCAGCCACTGTACATATATACGGCGGCAGGGCGGCACTCGCAGGCAAAACCACATTTTAAAATGTGTGTTTTGTAAACAAATAGGGGGCGTGCGCAAGGCGCGGCTCCGCCCTATCTGTTCCGCGGATCACAGCCGCAGATGTCAGTCGCTGGGTCACAGCCGCTCCTTAGCGGCTGTTTCCCGGCGATCAGCGGCAAACAGTGACAGAGAGCACAGCTGCAGTAGCTGTGCTGTCTGTCACTTCCCTGTCAGCTCGAGGATGAGCTGATCAAGAAAGAACAGTTTCTCTTTCTCGATCAACCTTGTCCCATCCAGTACACACCCCCTCCCCCTAGTAAAACACTCCCCCTCACTCCTATAACTCTTCCCTGCAAAATAAAGTTAACCCCTTCCTCCCCATTGCCATTAGTACAGTGTCAGTGGTTTTTTTTTTTGCACTGATCACTGTATTAGTGTTTTTGGGGATGTCAGTGACCCCAAGTCAGTACCCCCCAATGTCAGAATGTCCGCCGCAGTCCCGCAGTCCTGCCATAATTCGCTGGTCGCTGCCATAAGTCCCTGATCGCCGCCATAATTCGCTGATCGCCGCCATTATTAGTATAAAAAAAACCCTAAAAATCCCAGTATCTTTCCCGCCATTTGTAAACGCTATAACTTTCACGTAAACCAATTAATTTACACGTATTGGGTTTTTTTTTAGCAAAGACATGTCGCACAATGCATTTTGGCAGAAATTTATGACTAAATTTGATTTTTGCATTTTTTTTTTTTACTGGACATATTTTATAGCAAAAAGTCCAAAATATTGTTTTTTTTTTTTTCCTCAAAATTGTCAGCTTTTTTTTTATAGCGCAAAAAATAAAAACCGCACAGGCGATCAAATACCACCAAAAGAAAGCTCAATTTGTGGGGAAAAAAAGGATGTAAATTTCATTTATGTACCGTATTGCATGACTGCGCAATTGTCCGTTAAACTAGCGCAGCGCTGTATAGCAGAAAAATGGCGTAAATTGCAGTATCTATACCATAGTTTGTAGACGCTATAACTTTCACACAAAGCAATCAATATACACTTATTGGGATGTTTTTTACCAAAAACATGTAGCAGAATACATTTTGGCCTAAATTTATAACCAACTTTGAGTTTACTATATATTTTTTACAGCTAAAAGTAAAAAATATTGTTTTTCTTCAAAATTTTTGGCATTTTTTTGTTTATAGCGTGAAAAATAAAAAGCGCACAGGTGACCAAATTACACCGAAAGAAAGCTCTATTTGTGTGAAAAAAAGGACGTAAATTTCGTTGGGGTGCAGCATTGCATGACCGCGCAATTATCAGTTGAATTAGTGCAGCTCCGAGTAGCAAAAAGAGGCCTGGTCATTAAGGGGGGTAAATCCTCTCAAGCTCAAGTGGTTAAGTAGCGTTTTAGTAGCATTTAGCAGCGCTTAGGAGCCTTTAGGAGTTAGCATTTATTAGTGTTTTTACAGTACATGTAGGGGAAAAAAAAGCTGTTAGGAGCTTTTTAGTAGCCTTTCAGTAGTGTTTTAGGAGAGGTCAGCATTTCTTTTCAGCAGAAAAATGCTCCAAAAACTCTACAAAGACAATTTTTTTCTTCACCTAAATGCTGAAACTAGCCTAAAATAGTGTGCATGGACACAAAGGAAAACACTATTACTTTCTAGAAGCAGAAAAAATGGTGATAACAGCTTCTAGGAACTTAACAAACCACTAGTGTGCATGGAGACTGAAAAGTGCTGGATGGAGGAGACAGACCTTTCATTCATCTGCCCGTCCTCCATTCAGGGAACTGTTTTATTTTGCAGGAACTGACAATACAAGTCTATGAATGGAGGAGGAGGGTGGACATAGACAGCAATTTTGGCGAGTGCCTTTGACAGGTTCAGCCGCTCCTACTAATCCCTACAGCACCAGAAGATCACAGCTGTGTCGGTATCCAGGGACAGGGGAATTTCAAGGAACAGAGCAGCCACCAGCATACAGGACCATTATCATTCAAATATGTACTCTCCTTGGTCCTGATTTAAAAAATAAATAAATCAGTAAAATTCAACTTCAAGCTAGTAGGCAGACCTATGAGTACAATACATTGATAGAAACCAATGAATTTTGGTGAAATGTCCCCATTGGAAGATTTCCCCTCTATTCCTGTTCTGGTCTCATCACAATTTTGATTTACCAATCACGTTGGTGATCAGAACAGGCAGAGAGAGGAGATCTCCCTAAAACACAGCGATAGTGGTTCTAACCCTTCACCATTCTTTCCAAATGTAAATTTATTCACCACTGGGATTTTAATTTTTTTTTTTGCTATATAAATGAAAAAGTCCAAAAATTTTGAAAAAAAATAGTTTTTCTTATAAAATTTTGCAAATAAATAATCTTTCTTCATAAATCTATATATATAATTTTATTTTTTTTTTTTTTAAATTAACATACTGTC